TTGTTTATTTTCAAAAAATAAATAACAATAATTAATATATACATACATTCACATATATATAAATAAATAAACAACTGATCATTTTAAATGACGCCAAAATTTAACTCTATTAAGTGACTAGTAATAAATATGAAAGAATACCATAATTAAATAATAAAATAATTTTGTATTTCATAAAGTTAGAAAATAATACATGTCTACGTAAATTCTAAATTTTTAATTATATGAATTAAAATACTTGAAAATTTAATAAACGTGAGACACTAAGTCTATAAATACAAATATAATCGTAATACAATAAAATTTATTTTGTTTTAGAAAAAACGAATCAAATATATAATGTTGTAAATAATATCAGTTTTATACATATATATTTTAAAAATATAATTAAAAATATATTTTGGACAAATTTAGTGTAAAATACGGACACTATTTGAATTTATTATCACTATGTTAGTTATTTATTATTGTTGCATATTCATCATACATAATTTCATGATAAAAATGAAAATTATTTTAATTTACATAATTTTAAGAAAAAAATATAAATTATTTTAATTTTTATTTTACATATATTAATATATTTAAGTGTTGAAGGAGAAAGAAAATGCTAATAATAAACCCATTACTAGTGTTTGACCTGCGCATTTGCACATATATAAATAAAGTATTATGAGTTATTTGTGTGCATATAAGATTAATGATTTTTCATGTACTTTTTTGCAAGCCAAATTTACAATTAAAGGAGATGGAATATTTATTTTTTTTTAAATTGCGTTTATCTTATTGGATGTAGTGTATATTTTGGTATGTATTTTTTTTGTAAATTATTTATAATTTATTTAGAAATTTCAAATACGATTTTTATTTTTCAAAAGAAGTTAATTTAAATGTAACCACGACAATAACATCTAATCACATTAAATAGTCAACACATTATATGATCGGTTGTAAATAAATCAAAAGTTTAAAATGATTTTGGTAATTTTGAAGCGATTGATGTGTTGAATAATTAGATGAGAGGTTAAATAAACAAAAAGTAACAGTTTTTGAAGGGAAAAAATTATATTGCCACATAGGTATAATTTAATAGATTTATAAAATGCTCATAAGCCAACAATTATATATATATATATATATATATATATATATATATTTTAGGGGAAGGTCCACTTTTGGTCCTCCATGTTTAGGGGGTATCCAGACTGAGTCCCTATTATGTTTTGGTGCCCAATTTTCGTCCTTAAAACAAAAAAATGTAGTCCCTATAATTAGGAAAAATCCACTTTTAGTCCTCCATGTTTAGGGGTATCCAGACTTAATCCCTATTATGTTTTGATGCCCAATTTTAGTCCTTAAAAAAAAAATGTAGTCCATTTACCTCAATTTATGTGAATTAGCGGTCCATTTTTGCTCGACCGTTATGTTCTTTATTTTTTTAAAATTTGTTGACTAATGTCAACTTTGACCAAAGAAAAATAAAAGAAAATTTAAATGCTGAAAAAGTAAAATAAAAGACAGAAATAGTGAACTGCAGTGAAACGTAAAAAAAAACCCTAACCGCCTAGGGACTAAATCCAATCAAATGGATGGAAATGGTGTGGTACTTTGTAGATGTGAGCTGGTTGCAAAGTTGATTACATACTGGAAGGATGATAATCTCGGGAGAAGATTCTTGAGTTGCCCTCTATATCCTGTAAGTACTTTCCGTGAACTTCAATTGGAATATGATAAGAAATGGTTAAAAAACAGAGGGTTGATAGGTGCAATTTTTTTCGATGGCATGACCCGGAAATGGGTGCAAGAGCATTAGCTGTGATTCCAGGCTTGCTCCGCAGCGCGAATGCTAGGGAAATAGAAATCAGACGAGCAAAAATTTTAATTTAATTTAGTGCAATTTCTTGTTTTAGTTTAATTTTTTATTAATATATTTTCAGCATTTAAATTTTCTTTTATTTTTCTTTGGTCAAAGTTGACATTAATCAATAAATTTTAACAAAAATAAAGAACATCACAGTCGAGCAAAAATGGACCGTTAATTCACAGAAATTGAGGTAAAGGGACTATATTTTTTGGTTTTATGGACTAAAATTGGGCACCAAAACATAATGGGGACTCATTTTTTTGTTTTAAGGACTAAAATTGGACACCAACACATAATAGGGACTCATTTTTTTGTTTTAAAGACTAAAATTGGGCACCAAAACATAATAGGGATTCATTTTTTTGTTTTAAGGACTAAACACCAAAACATAATAGGGACTCAGTCTGGATACCCCTAAACATGGAGGACCAAAAGTGGACTTTACCCTATATTTTATATAAATAGGAATCGGTTGGAACAAAAAAAAACCTGCATATGGGCATGCGTGATGGTTGGAGTTGAACTTAGTTGCGTTTTTCTCTCCGAAAACATTTTCATTCTCTGATTTATCTTTGCAAAGGAAGCATGGGCAAGAGTGTTCAAAGTTGTTGCTCTTTCCATTTTCATTGACATCTAACTGAAATACATATTAGATCCATTAGTTGTTTTTCTTCTCTTTTGTTAATTGTTCTTGTTGCGAATGACCAATTTTTGTTCAGATCCACTTCTCGAGGAATTCCGGAGCGACCCGAAGTTCGCCGCGAACACTCAATCACCCACGGGAGTCGTAAGCAATTTTTGATACATTTTCATGATCTTTTGAACCTTAATCGAGCTTATTTACTGTTTTAGCTGGATTTAAAGTGTGAAAATTGGCCCAAGTTTGCGCCGCCCAGATCCATTCTAGATAGCAGCAGCAATTGGTTAAAAATTGTTTCAGATTACAGACAAAATTGTTGAAAAATTGAAGTTTCTTCAGAAAGTTCATCACGGGTAATCTCAAAATCGATATGCAGGTAAAGGCCAGCGATAATCGCACAACATTGCATTATTTCAGGAGGAGATTTAGGTTACCAAACATAGAGTCTCTTCCCGAAGTTTTGTTATTGGATATCCTTGCTCGTCTCCCCGCTCATGTTATTCGAGACTCTGTAAGTCTTGTTTGCCCCAAGTGGTACCATTTGACCCGTACACCTGACTTCATTCACACGCACTTTCAGCATGCAACCTCCGGGCTCCTTTTGTACTCTTTGGTGTTCCGTAAAGAACTGATTTTGATCTCCATGAAGGAGGGCCGGGTCCAGAAATTCACGTCCCGCAAGGAAGATGGCTACGATATTTGGTCCAGCTGTAATGGTCTTGTTTTTGGAAGCTCGTGTAATAGTAAGTCTAAATTGCGCATCCTCAATCCTGCTACCAAGCAACACTGTGACCTCCCTCC